TGTATAAGAGACAGATCCCCTTCCTATCCCCTTCCTATCCCCTTCCTATCCCCTTCCTATCCCCTTCCTATCCCCTTCCCCTTCCTATCCCCTTCCCCTTCCTATCCCCTTCCCTTTACCGTTTTGAAAGGCTTCTGGGTGCAGTTGGCACATGTGAAGGCGGTAGGGCTCCGGCTCAATGATGGGGCCCTCAAGCCTTAGTTATAGCCCCAGCCGGCCTGGGCGTTGGGGTGGGACATGAATATTTGCAACCAAAGTACCTTTGCCTCGCAGTGAGCGGCTTGACCTGCTTTGTTTTGAGTCACCTTGGCCTGCTGTTACAACTAGCGCCGGGCATTCACTAACTGTGGCATTAAACACTCTTGTTTCATTGTGCTTGCAGAGGATTGAGGAGCATTCAAGCTTTAGCCCACACAAAAATGATGGCAGTACAGTGAGCTGTAAAATCAGGGAGTTGTTGGGGCTGGAAGGGAGCTGAGGCGCTTTGTAGCCTGATCTGCTTGCGGTGTGGCCAGCTCTGAGGTCAGAGCAGGTTGTTCAGGGCTTTGTCAGGTTGGGCCTTGAGAGCCTCCATGGATAGAGGCAGCACAGTCTCTGGGTCCCTGTTGCAGTGTTTCACTGTCGTCAGGCTGAACATTTTTTCCTTATGTCAAATTAGAGCCCCTGTTTTCGGTTTATACCAATTTTCTCATTCTCCTAGCATGCATCTTGGTAAACATAGCCTGGCTCTGTCTTAACAGTAACCTTCTTAAAGGTTTTGGAAAGCTGCTGTCAGGTCCCCCTAAGCCTCCTCTTCTCCAAATTATACAAGCCCATTTACCTCAATCTTCCTAGTGCAGGTGCTCCAGCCCCTGTATTTTTGTGTGTCACTGCTGGACTCGCTTGTTTACAAACATCCTTGTTGTACTGGGGACCAAAAAGTGGATTTAGTACTGCAGATGTGGTGTACTTAGAATGCTGAAGAAAGGATGATAATTGCTTCCCTTGACCTCCAGACTGTGCTTCTGTAGATACAGCCCAGGCTGCTGTTAATCTTCATTGCAGCCAGGAGCCTGCTGGCTCCTTTTTTCACATTTTTGGCCCCCAGGACTCCCAGGCCCTTTGTGTAACTGGGGAGCAGCTCTGCTGAAGTCATGGCCTGTACCCTTTGCAAGAGGTTACTCCATCCCAGGTGTGGGACTTTTTATTTCTCCTTTATGAATTTTGTTGGGTTCCTTGTTGTCTTGTCCCTCAGACTGGCAGAGGGACACCCTTGAGCATTATCAGCTGCTCTCTCAGTTCAGTTTATTCACAAACTTAAGGGTGTACTCATCCCCTCTCACAGGCCACTGATAAAGATATTAAACAGGGCACATTCCTGAATAGTCTTGAGGAACTCTACTTCTGGTTGGCCTTCTGACAGAGTGCAAACCATTAACCACAACTCTTTCAGCCTTATGATCCAGCAAGGTTTTTGTCCATGTGATAGCCCACCCATCTGTGCCATAACATCCCAGCTTGGATAGACAGATGCCACAGGAGATAGTGTTGAAAGTGCTGAAAGTTAAAGTTAACACCACCTACTGCCATGTCTTTGTTCACAGATTTAGGGGGTTTTATCATAGAAGGAATGGTTGGTTGAGTTGTTGTTGCTTGCTCCCCTTTGGTGTATTTTAGAATACTTTGAAAGTTAGATGAGAGCATGACAACTATTTAGGTGTTGTTGGTAAAGGGTGGCCAGTTGGAGAAATGGTGGTTGAACAGTTTGCTAGTATAATTTCAGTCTTTATGACTGTATACTGTATTATATAATGATATGTAGTATGTATTACATTACAAATGTACGTGTTATGAGACACTGAACTGATAAGACACTTAAAACTTTTTCCCACCACTGGAAAGGGGACAACTGGGCTTTGTAGTCAGGCACATTAACAGTGCAACATGGTGGCATGAGCATCTTTCTGAAGAGAATGTCCAGTTTCTCAAGAAGTTAACTGCGGAGGAATACAAAGCTCAGACAGCCAGCAAGCTGTACCCTCTGAAAGATGAGCCATGGCCACTGAATGAGTGGAAACCAGGTGAGAAAGCATCTCTTCTGAAATACCAAACTTATGATGAAATTGTTCTTGTGTTGTTGCATTCAGTAACATCAGGATTGTGTCTTGTAAAGTATTCTCCTTTGTGCTTTTACCTCAATCAGTCAATACATCTCCTAGTAAATAAGTAAGTGTAATACATCAGTTCTCTAAAAAGCATTTAAAATATTACAGGGTGTTAAGAACCTTCTAAGAATGTTTGGTTTAGTCCAGATCAGCACTTTGCCAGTCCCACTGCTGCACGGTGACAAAATAATAAACCAAGAATTCATAAAAAAGACTCCCCAGGATATAAAGTATATGAACTTGAAAATGTTCTTGTAAATATTGGTGGACTCTGAAGAAAAAGTGTAATATATAACACATCCCACTATTATTGAGTGATTCCAAAGTCTTATGGAGTGGAGCACAATAGAAAGTTTCTGAGCCTTCAAAAGGGTCACAATATTTGACAGCAAATAACAGCCTGACAGTCTACAAATACATGAGAAGATTCTCAGGTATGACAGTGGCAACTGGAACAAAGAACATTTTTCAAACTTCGGAGTATTTATTCTTCATCTTAAGTGTTCTGTTTTTCATGCCACAGACTGTCAGAAGCCAGACTTGACAGATTGCCTTTGCTGTACAGTTGCAGTGACAAAAATATGCAAAGGTCAGGATGGGCGGAACCTCCTACAGTAAATTTTTCAATAGTTATTTTGACTCTAAAATTTTACATGAGTGTTGTGTTTTCTAAAGAAAACGACTCTGAAGCTTTAGTTGTTCTAACCTTAGTGGGAAACTAGTTTGCATGTTCTATCAAACACAACTGAAATAGATAGAACTTTACTGCTGGTGGGATTAAAAACAATTATTCCCAGCCTGCCTGCAGGGAGTCAGTGATGTTTTTCTCTCTCCTTCAACTCCTTAGGAAATATCAGAGTTAATGAGGCTTCGCATATTGTGAGATGGACTTTCAAATGTTAAATGTAGAGTTGCATCCATGTTCTGTTTTGATTTGCAGGTTCCATCCGAGTTGGTGTTGTTGCAGTAAAACTGGGAATGATGCCAATATGGACCAAGTCAGGAAAAAAACATGCTGTCACACTACTTAAGGTGAAATAAATCGTAATAAATTTCATCTCCTATAATGTATTAATTAACCAGAAGTTTTAGGCAAAAGTGAAACTTACCATTTGTTCAGAGTAGGGGGTCCCTAAAGAAAGGAAAGATTTCTTTCAGCCCTGCGTAGTACACCATGCCTATTCTGTTTATATCCCAAACGTTCTAGGAGCGGCCTGTCTTCTGCCTCAGTTGTTCAAATGCTGTAGAACGATGCATAGTATTACCTAGGTGAGGGAGGATGGGAGGCAACATAAAGCTGGGGTTAACTACCCCACTTCACTTTTTTATTTTGCCACCTGCAGGCACTTTGGGATTAATTTTACTTTGGTTTCTGAGCCTTTGTAGCCCTGAAGCTGCTTCTTCATATTCTCTGGCAGCTACTACTGTGATGAAGCTGTTTGATGACCTGTTGCTGCCATATGATGAACCAGTGCTGTGAAGGGCATCAGGTTTACAGGGAAAAGGAGCAGGAGTCTAAAATGTGGGCTTTGCTGCTGCATACAGTAGAGATTTTTGCAGATCTTGTAGGCAAAGGATGACTATGAAAATACAGTTTGCATTCTACTGATATTTTTTTTCTAAGATAAGCCTTTATTTAAATGATTGGAAACAGAATATCTACGACAAAAAGGTAACACACTCACCTAATTGTAGACTGTATCTCGTGTTATATAGATACAAATGAAAACAGACTGACTTTTTCTCTTGTTTTGATAATCTCTTACTATGGTCTCAAAATGTACACATCTGCTTATACTCAAATGAACACTTTTTCTTTTCTTAAGGTGCAAGATTGCCATGTTTTAAAATACATTTCAAAGGAAGAGTCAGGTGGAAGCACATCTCAGCTACTTGTTGGAGGCAAAAATGCATCTCCTTTTTCTGTAAGTGAACCACTTTGGGTGTTTTTCTTAGAATAGTTGTGTCTGTTGTGATTACAGTACAAAAATAGCATAGGTAGACTTCTTAAAAAGACTAATTGGCAGACATGCATGGTTTGGAACTGATCTTTTGTCACATTCACCCTTGCGTGTTTCCTTAACGTTAGTGTTGCTTCTTGGTTAAGAGAATAGAAAGGAAATTGAAAGTTTTGGCTCTTGATTCTCTAGGAAAGCTGTGGGTTTAGGAAGTTGCTTTGAGGTGCAGTGTTCCATGCTGATGGTCTGAAGGGCCTTTAGGAGTATGAAAAACTGTGTGCCGTGCTGTGGAGATGCAATATGAGACAAGAACTGCAAGATGCATGTTTTAATGGCCTGTTGTAAACTTAACCAGCTTCATCGGTTCTTTAAAAGACTTTGTTCTCTAGCTTACCCTTCTGTTATAATTTTTCCACAGATCTGCTGAGATTGTTTAATTTCATATAGTTTTACTGATGAGTAGGTTTAACACTTAAATTTTCAGGAAGATAGCTTTGAGATTATAGCTCATCAACAGCAATATCAAAACCACTCACTTGTTTAGACACCCCAGTTATCTGATGTGGAATTCCCAGGCACCTTCAATGGCTAAGGTTGTCTAAGAGCTGTCATTCCTGAGGAGGAAAATTGAATTATAGATCAAGGCAGGAACAAAGCTTTCCCTTAAAGGATTGCCGTTTCTGTGATCCGTTATTTCTATAAAATATCACTTTTCACTTCTTGCAGTATTCTGAAACTCATTTGTTTGATTTAGGCAAGTAAAAAAAAGTAAGACTCGTAATTACTAATCAGATTGTCTGGGTAATTGTGGCTTTTTGAGGTCATATATTTGCCTTTTGCAAACAGAAGCTGTTCCCAGAGCCTCAAAATTAGTCTGTGTACTTGTTTTTGCTTTAGTGGAGGTGAGAGAAAAAGGAGCTTTTTTCATTTGATAAATCTGTTGGATTTTATAGTACATTATGATTTTGAACAGGCTTATATACATTTTAAGGTATCTTTCTTTTATTCAGTGGACTTAATGCTATTTCTTATACTTCCCCATTGTCTATCCTTTCACTTTAGTCCACGCCTTCCAGGTGTGACATTTTTCCTGGAGAAATTACAGCTGTGGTTTTTGTTCCCTTTTACCTCAGTTTAAGGCTTACAAGAATGTGAATAATAATTTTCAAGTTGTACTATGCACATTAGACTTCTTACAGTTGATCTTTCATAAAGGTGATGTTGTTAGTGATTCAACATGTCAGAGCAAAACAGGTAGGAAGCAAGGAGTTACGTAGAAAAAAATTCTGTTTAAACAGCTCTTGTGAACTAAGAAAATTTCTTCAAAGCCAAACTACCTAAAATGACAAGTCAAGGATTTTTTAGTAGTTTGATTTATGTTAAATACTCTTTTGGACAGAACTTTTTTCAAGTTAGCTCATATTAATTTGGTTGAACTTAGACTTACTTTAATAAAGAAATTAATTAAATATCCCGAGGTCGATTTGTGTTGAGGACCTGACTTGAGACTGAGCTCTGTATTACTGTTATTGTTGTTATCATCATCATTGTATAAACTAGATCATTTCTGAGAAAGGACTTGGCATACTGATTCCGAACAATTTTACTTGTTAAGGTACTAACAAAGTGTCTTTCTGTGGTTTAGCTGCAGGCTTCAATCATTGCTTTTCTATGTTTATCGGTCTTTTTATGTGTTTCTTTTCTCTCTGAAGTATCTGGAAGTAAGAATTAAAAGAAAGCTGAATGATACTGTATTGTATTAGCATAAGCAGTTTATCTTCTGTTAATTCCTCGTAGGAACATCTGTCTTCGTCAGATTCCTCACAGCTACTGATTTTTAATGAATTCAATATAATGATTCCCTCAGTAATTTTACTAACAAAGAGTTTCATGTATTTCTTTTGGGTGTCAGACTGCTTAAAAAATGATAAGGGTTATTGCATTTTTAGCAAGATTTTTTATTTTTACTTTTCAGCCTGATGTAATGTCAGTCTGTTACAAATGAATAGATTTTTCATTATTTTTTTAATGCAAAATTGTTCTTAAAAGAACAATTCAGTCAGTGTTCTAACATTTTTTTTGTCAAAAATACTTTATATGCTTCCCTTAAGTGAGGACATATTGATCATTTTCCTATAGTACTGGAAGATACTGTTGGTCTTAAAAATAAGAACGTCTGAGAATTCACTCAGTGTTCTTCTCATCAGTGTTCCTTTTAGGAAAGCTTTGTAAAGACTGTGGTGTTTTGTTTGTAGAAATACGTTGCTCTGACTTGACTAAAGAAGATTTGTTGTTGAAGTAGAGCAGTGCAAGGCTATAGTAGGACTCCTGAGACTTAAGCAGTTTTTACCCCTTGACTTCACTATGCCTTTCTTCAGCTCTGGTAGCTCTTTCCAGGCACCTCTGCTGAGCTCAGAGCTCCCCTTGCTGTCATCTAAGGCAGCAATTTTACATAACAGTAGAAATAAAGGATTGCTATGCAGGCATTTAATAGAAAGGGGATTTCTTTACTTTTAATTCTTACATATGGTACCAGGGTTTAATACAGTTGTCCTCCATTGATGCCTCAAATTTTTGTGGTCTTTGGGAGATTTTGTATTTATTTGTGTTTGTGTCAGAAAACCCTCTTATTTCTCAAAGACTTTGTATCCACGCTTTCTCCTTAAATAAGGACAGATTCATAATATTAAAATTCTGGTCTGTGTCTTAAGTCGGAGATCCTCATCATCTTGCTTCCTCATTCTTTACAAAACAACCCTCTGTTCTCCTAATGTTTTTTAACAGAGTTTTAAAAATAAAAGACAAGGCAACATGCAGATTTTCAAAATAAGCTAAATAAAAATTTTAAGACAAATTAATGTAAGTAACTTTAAAATACACAAAATTATTTTTGAGTGAGAAAGAACTGTGCAGAACTTTTGAGAAGTGAGCCTCAGAGATAGGACTATCCACATGTGACAGTATTGTCAAATTGCTTTCTAGGAGAATTCATTTGAAGAAAAATCAGCTGCATTGTTTTTTTCCTATGGCTGCATTTTTCCTGCATCGCTGTTTTCATTGGTTAGTATCATCTTAGTGGTCAGCTGCTCTGTGAGCTGTCTTGTTTAAAACAGCTGAGAACAATTTTAAGTACTTTGTCAGACTTTTCTAAAAGGAGAGTAAGTCAGCAGTGGTTTGACACTATGTGCACTTGGTATATCTTAAAAATATATGAATCCTAAACCTGTTTTTTATTTTTCTTTTTTGTCCAGGGACTCTAGATTCTGTTCTGTGGGAAGTTAAGTATTTCTAGAAGCTTCTGCAAGACAAGGCTTTATTTCTATGGTTTTGTTAGTTAAATAAATTATATTTACAGTGATGTGAAACTAAGTCATTAGAATCTTTGAAAAAGAGAAGATGCTTTTAAATTACTACAAAATTCTGAAAGTCATGAAAAAGCAGTAATAGATTTTATATTTTAAATGGTTCGTTTCTCTTTTCTGATTTTAGAAATCTTCATATCTCTTGTTTATATGATGTAGCTATAGGGTAACTAGTTGACAGAAAATAAAATGCAGACACAGGAGTTTTAAATTAATTTTATATAGAGTTAAAATGCTAGTCTCAAGTTAAAAGTGTAGTATGATATATCTGTTTCTCAGAGTGGTGCTGACAGTCCACAGTCTCTTTCTGTGCTAGATTGATCCTTGGATATTTTAAGATCGCTTTTTTATGGCTGCTCTTTGTTACAGAAATCAGAGTCTGCAATGGAAATTTTTAAAGAAGCTGGAGTACCACGGAAGCAGAAAATTACATTATTTAATGTAACAGATGATGCCATAATTAAACCAGGTAATCTTTTTGAGGTACTGAATATTATATGCATAATCATTTAATGTCAGCCACCTGTAGACTTAAACTGAGTTATGATGTGCATTTAATTTTTGGTTTGTATGGAAATTTCTGGATGCTTATTTCTTTGTCATTAAGCACAAACTTAATTTTTTCTTAGGGAAAACTAGGAAATGGACTTTACTTTCTAGGGTTGAGAGGTAGTATTTTTCCTTTTTCCTGGATATTATGTTTCTGTTGATTAAAAAAATAAGTCTAATCCAAACCAGCTGATATGAACATTGACTTAAGAGATAAATGTCTGTAACCTTGACTCACTTGTTGGGAATAAATATGAATGCATTTACAGGAAGTTCTCTCATTGTCCTTATGAGAGAGGCACTGAGAATTTTGTGGTAATGTTTTTCTTAGGAGCCTAAAATAGCAGTTTGAGGTTTGTTTCTTCTTGCTGTATTCAGAAGTAGGACTGATGGCTGTCATATATGGCATTTTTTCTGGCAGCTTGCAAAGTAAAACACATTAAGACATGTTATAACAAAGTTTTCACCAAAAATCAGTATGAGAAGTTTGGAGATTTAATGAAAAGTTTTATGGTTTTAAGGTTTTATTAGCTAGTATGTTTAGGTTGCTTTCATTCTGTGCTTTTCATTTCTGTGCCATTAGAGAGGTTTTTACAAGACCTTTTTAAGACAGTGCTATAACTGATAAAAATCAAATCTGACATGAAGAGGAAGTCTGGACTGATAAATGGAAGCAAAAGCTTGAGATAAAGCAGAATCGCAACTTTTCAATAAACTGATTTTGCAGTGTGTATATTTTGTACATAACATCTTTCATGTAAATGATTTTCTGTCAGTTGACAGGCATCTTATCCCAGGTGTGTATGGATCATATAAATATAACATGAAATAATATGAGGATTTATATGCTTGAGACTTAGGAAAGGTTTACACTGTTTCAATTTGCATTCATACAGATTTGAAAACATCATGAAAATGGATGTGGACATGAAGTGATTAAAATTTCTTTTTTTTAATTGACTTAAAACAGGCTGGAACCTGTTAAAGATGCAGCCATGGATCTTCAGATGAAAGTTCATGTATATTGAACTGAGTTATCAATTCTTTTTAAAGCTGCTAATAAAAGAATATTGCTCTTGGATGAAATAATTTGCTGAAGACAAATCTTTAATTAAAATTAAAACATTGATACTACAAGCACTTAGGGGAATGAGTGTACTTGCAGTCAGGTGAGTGATGTCACTGACTGGCTGTGCCACTACTACTAAAGGGTAGTGGTAATTCCCCAGTAGATGAAGCTGTACTAGTACCACAGTCTTTAGTTAGGAAACACTGTGTCTTAACAAAGAGGCAAAGAGGAAGCATTGCAAAACCTTTTTGGTGTTTTGGGTTTTTTTTTTATTCTTAACCCCATTTGTTATAGGAAGTGTTTTGGTTGGGATTTTTTGTTTGGGGTTTTTTTTTTTTTTTAAACCCTCCACCTTGGAAAGTGGTAGTAGTTACAAGTGGAGCATGTTCAGTTCTCTTGCCAAGTTTGTTTATTTTGAGTCTTAACTAATTAAGCATTTTGGGCTTTGTCTCTTTCAGTGTCTGAAGTTCAATGTATCTGAGTAAGCCCTTGACCCTTCCTTCCTACTCATGTGGAATTGGACTAGGAACTGAGGAATGTGTTTAAGTAGTAACTGAAAAGCACCTATTTTAGTCAGTGAGATTTATAGAGAAGAACAAATAATATATGAATAAAATCAGTTTTGTTTCCTGTGACTGTAATCTACCCCGGATGGTAATGATTTAAGAGTGGTTCAAGGATTTGAGCACTTAGTTGAACATGATCTCTCCTCTTCTTTTGAAGGTACTCCTTTGTATGCTGCTCACTTCCGCCCAGGGCAATTTGTGGATGTTACTGCAAAAACGTAGGTTCCTAATGATTTAACATGTACAGTTCATCTTTCAAACAGACTGGTTGAATTTTTTTTTCCCCTTCTACTTTGACTTGAATGCATAGCTTACAAAAACTGAAATACAGTTGTAAGAATACTGAGAGGAAATAGAAGTCCATTCATCCATTGGGTCAAAAATACCAAATTATCTTTCTTTGCTGAGGCTTACTTTTGATTTTGAACATGATAATTAAACAAATAATGCTATTAGGGCTATGATTCTGTATGTATAATCTGTCACACATACATGATTAGCATGGAAGTTTTGACAAACAACTTGAGAAAGGGGCTCAAGCTTAGCACGGGTGAAGAGGTCTATAATGCAGGAGTATATAGAAGTGATAGATAAATGCTGGAAGGCTTCAATTCCCAGAAAAACTGCTTAATTCTGATTTCGTGAAGAGATATGAAGAATGATAAATCACGTGGAATGAAAGAAAAGCAAAAACATAGTGAATACATTTAGCAGAGCTGTCAAATTCTTCTTTTGTTTTCTCTCATATTCCAGCTCATCTCCTTGCCAGCAATGGTAATGATCTTTTACTTTAACGTGGGAGGAATGATTTCCTCTCAGACCACTGAGTATGCCAAATTAGAGCTCAAGTTGTAGAGGGTGTCAAAAGAAAAACTGGCATTGCGACAAAGACTAGTCATGCCTCTTCTGTTATGTCCATGATTTCCACTGCCCAAGAGAACAGAGAACTCCTATCTCCATATTTCAGTGAAGTGCATTTTTGTTGTGTTGTGATACAAAGATAATGTTTTCCATTTGATGTTTTATTTTTTGTGTAATGGAGATAATACCCAGCTGGCCTTGTTGAAGTATCACCCATTGTAATTGTCTCACATATGTGTAACACTTAACAAATGTCTAATATTATTCACAGGGCTTTGTATAGATGGGGAAATCGACCATATCAGTACAACCAAGTAGTGGATTCTAATACAGCTACACTTCACTATACCTATGAAGGTACTCTGTTGAGAAAAGGAGATCAAGGAGTTAACTGGAATTAGTCTTTTTTTTTTGAACTTCCGTATGTAATACTTAGATCTGGTATATTATTCATTCTACTTCTAAATTGCATTCAGTGAGCAGCCTATAAAAGACAATAGCTTGTTTGCAAAGCAAAGCACAATGTTGTTAGGAATACAGTCATTCCACGTAGATTAAGTGTCATGCTTTGTTAATGCAGAAAAGCTTTGGGTTTTTAGAAGTATTTAAAGAACTCAGAAACGTTTCTTTTGGCTGTGTAAAAGATACTGGTAAGAGGCCACACAATATTGATTTGTGTCTTGCTGTATATATTTGAAAATACTAGCAAGATAAAATTAGGCTTGGTTCGTGTTCATGTTCAATAAATCCATCCTATCTTTTAATTCAGTATTTCTAATCTGGTTTCTCCAGGTATTTCTATGATCCCATTTCAGAAATTAGCTTTTTTTGTACTGCTGATTTTGGTAGTGCATTACATAATCCTACTATATAGCTGAAGAAAATTCTTCAGCTGAAGAGAAAGATTGATTTTATTTATTTATTTTTTTTTAATCATGGGTTTTCTAGAACTATTGGAGAATCATATTAACAGTTTTTCTGTATCCAGGGTTTTTGAACATTTTTTCTGTGATCTACTTGCATTCCTGGCTTCTACTTCTAACGTTTCTTTCTTCTAAATTACCACTTTTCTGGAGTGTGGCATTTGCCGTATTCCCTTAACTCATGGGCAAGAATTAAATTATTTTACTACATTTCAGTTTTTCTTTGGGTCTTTTACTTAAACCATCCAGTGTTGCTTGGTGTCATACTTGGGTGGGGGGTTTCATTATTTTTCAGAATACTGTATCCAGCATTCCTAGTTACTGTGCCTGTAAGTACAGATTTCACAGCGTCATGAAAATATCCAAGAAATGCTTCAGTGAAGGGGAAAAAAAGTTATCTTGGGAACGATTACAGCATTAAGCTTTAACATTTGGGCTGCACTGTGAAGGAAAAATGAGAATGTACTTCATGTTAGACTTGTGCTCTGAACCCCCCTCAAGAGGAGCCAGCTTATCCCTACTGAACAAAGAGGGAACCTGCAAGGTTTGGTCCACAGGCTGAAATGATCCTTTATACATTATTTTCTAAAGTCCCATTTTCAGAAGTGATGTAGGCACTTGAAAGATCCTAAGCTATAGGGGCATTTTGAAAAGGCACATAAGGATATAATGCTGGGTTACAGTAGGTAGCACAGTTTGTTTTTCTCTCCTTCCATCCACAACTTCCATCTTCCTGGTTCAAACCATTATGGACTTAACAGACAGTAATTCATAAAAACTTGCTAACACCGCTAGTAAAGTTTATAAAAATATTTTTACATGAACACATACTTTAAATTTTTAAGATTGTCAGTAACTTTGTTTTACTAGAGGAAACACTGAAGTGTGGATTATTTGAAATCATATAGATGAAGATATCACTGCTGTTAATAGCATGATTAATTCTAATTGCTCCTTTAAGAAGGAAAGGAAGAATACTAATGTCACCTCAATGAGGAGATAATGTAGTGGTATATAAAGGATTTTTTTTTTCTTGCTAGCTCTTAATGATTCATTTGAGCAAGGTATCCTTTCGTATGCTTTCTTCTGCCAAGACATAAATCAAAACTATGCTCCTTAAAAATGAGCAAGCTTTTCTTATTGTCACTTGAGCAAAGCGCTTGCACTACGTTTCAGAAGTCATGGTTAGCATCTTGATTTGGTTAACCAGTGTAGGGTGGTTTTTTATAACTGCTTTTAAACTTTCCTTGCAAATGTTTTTGACAAAGTCTTTTGAAATGTTTTGATTAATTTATGCCTCTGAAGAAAAACACTTTTATAGAAAGGAGAAGGTTCAGTTAAAGATGTATGCAGTTTGTTTTTCTTTGAAGTCTCATAATTTGTTCAGCACAGTACAAGTACCTTTTAGAGCACTGACAGTAGGCAGTGTGTCTGCATGCTGTCAATCTTTAGTGCTGAATTTTTTCCTTGGTACTCATTTTCAGCTATTTAAAAGCTCAATCCTTAAGTGTTATAGCAGTCTTTAATGAGTAGACTCGTCCTCAGTGCTTCCAAGTTATATTCCAAAAACGTGTAAAGACTTAGTGCCCTTTCTGGGACAACAGTAAACTTCAGAATTCCTGTGGCCTGATGGTCTGTCTTTTAGCCCTGATATGCTTTGGGCTAAAATACATAGACCATCCAGAAATGCTTCTCTCAGGCTGCACTTCTGTGACCTCTTTAACCTGTCATAGTAAAGGCTGCTGCCCGAAGGGGAGGTGGTGCTTCTTCCTACAGAGTTGCCATCGACTTTCTGTCGCTTGGTACTGGCTTCCTGAGTTGCATGAAGGAAAAGATTAGTGCGAGTTATCTGTATTCTTCACCTGGTTAGTTTTCAGCTGGATCAGTTGCATGCCCCAGCTTGCTGATCAACTGAGTGAGCTTCTGCACTAGTACAAAGATGACCAAAAGATGGGAGTGCAGAGAGGTGGGACCATGCCTTACAGTGGTAGCCCAGTGCTGCACAGAGATGGAGGTGTGTTATACCTCCTTTATCTGCCATTTCACAACCTGTTTTCATCAACGTTTCAGGAAACCTTTAGAACACCAGAAATTTTGTCACTCCAGAGAAAAAACAAACCGTGGTTTTATTTGAAGTATGCCAGAATTTGGTGGTGTTTCTGCTGTGTTTATGGTTTATTTAATCTTTACTAGCTTAATGGTGTAATCTAAGCCTGAAAGTATGCTCTACAATTGTCTGAAATTATTTGGCTAAGTAGTTGAAATTGTCGTCTTCTACATCATTTAAATAATTGATTTTTAAATTATATAAGTTTGAAGAGTTAGCAGCAACCTAAATTGTTGCTTAATTAGAGTGCTTTATTTCAGCAGCTTTCTAAATAAAAGTTGGCTCATTAGGTACTGGCATTTTACTTGTATCAAACCTAGAAAATGAGGTTTTGTACAAAATTAGGTGGTTGACCTGAACAGCCACTTTCCTGCAGGTGAGACTAGTGTGTAATTAAATTCAATTTTTAGTCCTATGGAAAGATTATTTTCCTTTCATTTAACATTTGTTTGTCTTAGTTTTGCATATCATCATTGCTGCCTGTGATTCCTTTCTGGGACTCAGGTAATCATGCTTTAGTGAAGCTAAGAAAGTGACTAAATTCCATGTATTGAAGAACAGTGACATTATACATATCAAGTCTAATAAAGATAGGTCTCATGCATGTATTTTTGTTCGGATACAGTGTTTAATGTTACTGTTGTTGAAACAGAAATATATACTCCTTGATTCAGGCCAAGACAACAAGTACATGTCTTATTGTATGTAGGATGACAAATATTCTACTTCAGTGTAGGTTCTTGGTCATATCTCAGATTCTGCACACAACTTGATTCTTTGAGAGTGGAATCTAAATATTAATTCTATTTAATACATGGTTCTAGATTAAGATCCCACTTCTACAAACCTTAATGTTTTTTTGAAAATATCTGAAGTTGTCGGTACTATGCCTGTTAAGGATTCTGGAGTTACACATCTTACGCATGTTTGAGTTTCTTCTAAATTAGAATTGTATTGTGTTTCTTTTCAAAGATTTAACAGATTTTAATGAACAAGATGTAGTGGGATGTCAGTAGTTAGGACTTCTTGGGGGGGAGGGGGGAATCAGGGATTTTGATGCATTCTTAAATGAAATTGTGTTGCAGATCATCATAAGAAAAGTAAATCCAGGAGAGATACATGTTTGGGTGAATCTCTTATACATATATAGACTAATGTGAAATTATATAGAATAGTGTAAACAATACACTAAAAATAGTATACATAAAATAGTATGTTATTGCATATGTGATAACTGTATGTTTTAATCTTTTGATTTGGCTAGCTCACACTAATATAATGAAATATTTGTTGGAAATGAACTCACAAGACTAATAAAAATCTAGTATTTTCAGGTATTTTTATATTTCACTTTTGCAAAATACTGGTTTAGCTTCAATATTATTTTTTTTTTGTATTTTATTGGTGATACATGCTGAATGCAGTCACACCCCAGTAATTTTTAAGAAGGTCAAAGAGGGCAATTAAACAATTTGAAAATTATAAATAATACTAATAGCTGACACCTGGCATCAGAAGTCAAGAATAATCTTATATATTTGTTAATTTTTTGGCAGAATTAAAAAAGTTGAAGAAAACTGTAAACTATAAATCCTTCTCTGATTTTCCATGGTATTTCTTGAACAGCATGCATTTTAAATTCTCTTCCTTGTTTATATAAGATAAAAGTTTCAAAAGCATTTTGCATTTCATATAATTGGAAGAATATGAAATCTTTGCATTAGAAATATAGAGAAATTTTGAGTCATGGAAAATTTGCATATAGTAGAGAAATCTTGGTTGAGAACAGATCACAGTCACATCAAGATGGACTTAGGTTGGAAAACCACTTCTTCTGGAATGATTGAGGTATATTGGCTGAAATACTAAATGCCTAGTTGAACAGTCCTCCTTTCTAAATTTGATTTGAACAGATGTTAGTGTAATGCCTTTATTTTAAACTTTATATTTTATTTACATAATCTTGTAGGTTTTATTCTGGTTCCATCTTTATTTCAGATAGAGCATGAGTCTAGGAAAAAACATACACTGCCTGTGTAATTTTTTTTTCATCTTAACATTTTTAAAGAACATTATACATTGTTTATTCTGTTTAAAAAATCAAAAACTCCAAAATGAAAGAAAACTGTAACGCTTTCTTAATAAAAACTTGTTTTTATTTTCAGTTATGATGGTAACTGTGTCATGTTGAATAGAAAGTTAATGGTCAAAAAGTCATAAGATAAAGTTTATTTGTAGGTAATTCAGAGACCTTCAATCAGTTTTTCATAAAAAATGAAACTTTTCTAAAGCATTATTGAACTAATATGATTAAAGAACCTTGGTAGATAGTAAAGCATTGTAAATTATGAAATACTTTTTATTTCAGCATTGAGAGATTTTTACTTTAGCCAGAGTATTTCAGATGTTGGAGATTTGTTTTTATATTCCAGATCAACAGATGCATAAGAATTTTCAGGTTTACTAGAGTGGGTTTTTTTGGTCTGGCCATACTTCATATAAATTTCCTAAGGCTTTGGTGTCGTGAAGTCTGAGTCTTTGTTCACAGAAAAAAATGTATGTAATTGGAAAGACCAGGAAGTAGATGAGCATACCCTATTAATCTAATCTAATCTTAAACTAATATTATCTAAATCTAATATTAATCTAATATTAAACACTAGCAACTCTATCTTGTGATATGATTTCTTTTTGAAGATAACACTATTTGGTGAAGTAAGCATTTTTTCCAAAATGCGTCTCTTACAAGTATTAACTATTTCTTAGATTTTTGTATTTTTATTTAAAATTACACTTTACAGTATTCTAAATTGTTCATGTCTAAAAATGAACAATTTGAATGAAATATTGAAGTGGTTTCATGACATAAGAGATTTATGCTTCCTGATTTAAGTTGACAGTACTGTTTTTCTTTTGAAATAGTAGCTTTTGATGGTTGTATGGTCTTCGCAGAATTGCAAGTACATTTCTGCAGCTAAAGAGTTAATCATGCCCCCAATCTGCTCTCTCTGGTAACTGCACAGCTGTTGTTATGCAACCCACTTGCAGTTGGTTTTGGAGAGTTTGCTAATTCCATCTTCCAGCTAGAGATGCCAGAAGTAGTCTACTTGGAAAACATGGCCAGATAGTTTAAAAGAAAAAAATATCATTTTGGAGGAACAGATATGAGTTTTTCTATAGCTTAGTTTCTGCTAAGTTATTAATGCCCTAGCAATCTGTGGACATAGAAGAAGACAAATTTTGAGCCTTTATTAATGTCTGAATGTTTTTCAGACTGTTTTTTTACAACTATTGCCGTTCATTACTGCAAGCTTTTAAAATAAACTGATTCATGAGAAACTGATGTAACAAAGCCTTGCATCCTGTCTTGTGTTCCTGACCTCAGGTAATGCAGTTCCTCCCTCCCCCAGGTGCCTTTAGCTCCCTCTTACAGCCCTGACCCCATATCCCCACGCTGCACCACCGTCTGCTGGCCTGGAAAGACTCTAACCAATGGCAACCACTTGCCAGCTGGCAAGCCAAAGGAACATATCACTACTTTAATCATGTTTTAGCATTTCCTTAGTTGTAAGAAAGGAGCAAAAAAACACAGGACTTTCTAATCAATAATTTTTATTGTAAACAATTACATATCTTTCTTCTGTGCCAAATTTAACTGTAATTGACCACTAGGTTCTGAGCAGGGAAGGGGAAAACCAAAAGTTGGACACACTGGTTGCACAAGTCTTACTTCCTTATGGTTCTGCAGGTCTAAAAACTCTTCCCATTTGTGGCTAGTTTTGACTGTAGTTTGACTTGCTCTAGGCAACTAGGCCAAGCAACGAGAGGAGAATTATTCAAGTGGAAGAGGAAAGAATCCAGTTTTTGTGCATGTTGGTGTTTTCAGCATTTGTATATTTTCTCTAGTTTTTAATGGTAGTGCTTTTCTGATCAAGGGAGTTAGGAAAATGTAGTTCATGTACAGTGTGCTATTTGCATGCTCATACACGGTTTTATTTTCCTCTGTTTGGCTGGAAGGTTCTAATGCTTGAACTAATAAGACCATGACATTGCAAAGTGCATTAGCAGAGAAAGGATTTCTGTAAATTGCAGGAAAAGGATCATCTTGTTAGATTAATCAAATAATCAGTGCAGCCATAAACCCTGTGGTCACACTTTTCTTTCTGGAAACAAACAAAGCCAGTTTAAACACACACTTTAATCAGCTTTTGTTTTGTGCAGTGGTGAAGCATTTTTTCCTATTGTCTGTCTCTGCGATAAATGGAGAACTCCAAAGTAATACTATCATGTACCTCAGATTAAGGCATGGACTCTGAAAATTGTTTGTTACTGTGGTTTAGACCTCATTTGTTAAATGAGTACTGATCAAAAAAGTTAAGTGTTTTCACTACACACAAAACTATTTTCAAGAAATTAGTCTAGTGTAGTTTGGAAAAGAAATGTTCCTTGGTTTATTTTTATGATAGTCTAAGCAGCCATTTCTTTTCTCTCTTTATGCTCAGGGCCTGTCATTAAGTTTTTGTATGTGTTATTATACGGTTACTTTTTATTTGGGTTTTTTGGTGGTTTTGTTTGTTCTGGTGTCCAGCTGGTGAAAGCTTCATTACAGTACCATGTACTGAGGACCATCACAGCAAGGAGCATTTTATGTTGGGCTTTTTGCCTATTTGACTCTATTCTAGGTCTTCTTATTCAGTAAAGGAACCTTTAGGTATTGCACTAGAATATGTTTGTGGTATAAAATACAGATTTAAAAAAAATATATATATATTCTCTCTGCTGAGCCTTGCTAAAGGTAGAAAGATCATGAGTCTGAAATTATTGGTTATTGCTAGTAACCTTAAGGCTGACTAACCCAATTTGTTTCTTAATTATTTTTCTTTTCAGAATTGGTAAAGGATTTCAAGGTGTCATGAAAAGGTGGGGATTTAAAGGTCAGCCTGCATCCCATGGCCAGACGAAAACTCACAGACGTCCTGGAGCAATATCTACCAATGTAAGGATTCTTATATCCTATTTAAGCATTCTTCAGTATTTTTAGGACTGGTTACTAAAAATGAACAATCTTACAATAGCTAGCTGATGCCATCTAATCTGTGGTAGCAGAGAATCCCAGGTGTTTCAAAGGAAGTTCAGAAACCTGTATAACGAGCAATGCAGATAGCTGTTCTGTTGTGCCTCAATTTATGAATATTCTATGTCTCTGGCAAGTGAGCAAACATATTTTAACTGAGCAAATTGTTGTGTTTTGTACTATAGCTGAGAGAAATAGTCTTAATGCTTCAAAGAGAGTTCTAAGAATCTTTTATCACAGCATTTATAGATTGGAAAGGACTTATCTGGTATTTTACTGCAGATATTGTACTATTCTTTGGAACCTCAGTTGCTTTTATCACCTTGCTTGGCTTGTGTAGCTGCTTACTGAACTGTTTGATTCCCAAAATAGTTTGTTGGCTTCTAAGCATTTTTAAGCAGAGCAGAGTAATATTTTTAAATTTCAAACAATAAATAATATTAGTTTAAAAGCTCTTTGGAGCAGATTCATTTAAAACTTTGTCCCTATAAATGTTTCACAATATTTAGGCTGAACTAAGAGGGATTTTTTTCAAACTAGCTTCATTATACAGAGTTAAGACCAACTGAGTCACAGTACTGAAGCTGGATTGTCTGTAATTTTCTTAGAGAAAAAAGAATTTATAATACTCAAAAGCAAAAAGGCACCAGGCAATGAAGTTGGAGTAATTGAGACTGTAAAAGCATACAGTACTGATTTATAGCCCTTCATTTCAGCTGGAAAGTGCATTCTACACCTGGCACTGTTTTCTCTGAAGACTGAAGAATGTAAATATTTGAACATACAACACTTTGTTTTAGCAGATGGTATTCATCTTTACAAGATAATCCCTCTTCTCTTTAAATGAGAATTTCCTAAGCACTGATGCTGGATGTAATTTCACAAAGTATATAGAATGGTAAATAGTATTGGAAATAGGTATGATGAAAAGGAAACATGGTAAAAGGATGCAACAGGGGAAAACCAGTGCATCAATTTTTATTTTCCAGTCTAGTGTTGACACCTCAGATGTTTTTGTGATCCTGCATTGTCCAGTACTGAATCCTGTCCCTAGAACTTCATTGCAGCTGATTTCCTGAAATCATGATTTTCATGTGTTAAAAAAATTAAACATTATTAATGAATAACTGAGTGGTACAAGAAACTGACAAATCCCTTGATAATACTGTAGAATTGAAATTTATGGCACTTATTCTGCCTTTACCACCTTTGTTCTGCAGGTTATGCCTAGCCAAACAATAATGTGATATAGAAACTAAGCATTAGCAGGAAATGTAATTAAAACCTCTGTTCTCAAAAATACATGCTTTTAAAAATCTGGTTTACATAGATATAAAACTCATGGATTGGGGAGAGGAGAGAAACTACAGTTATCTTCATTTTGGCAACCTTCCAGGGCAAGACTGCTCTGGAGCTAAGCAGTAGCTTGCACAAGTAATTTAGGCAAGTTTCCAGTTGCTGTGGTCTGTGATGTAACTGAGAGTCTTGTGTTGACAAGGTTTTTATGAAAAAAAACTTTTAATTTTCATGAAATGGAAGTATGGGATGAGTGCAAATTTTGCACTGAATCTGTACACATTAAGTGTTAAGCAAAGCTAGAATCCCTTGGTTGATATAATAGGATTTATAGCAATTTTATGATTGAGGTCAAGTATTTCAGATAACATGTAAAGTAATACCTAACCTTCAGCAGGAGGTATTTAAAATGCTAATCAGTATTAGATATTTTCATCATTGGAAGTACCAGCATATTTTCTTTGGTGCTTCTCTTGAGTTTGTAGGTATACCTCTTGCAGTTACGTGATTTTTTTGACTCTGTTTTTATCTAGAAAGCTGCCAAAGTTTATCGTGGAAAGAAAATGCCTGGTAAAATGGGTAACATCTATAGGACATCTTTTGGATTAAAGGTGAGTTCTGAGTATACTAGAATGCATGTAAGGTGGTTGCCTTGCCAAGCAATGGACTTAGTCATGTAGCCTTGTGTTGGTGTAGTCTGTCATTTCTGTCAGTATCCAGACAGGAGCATCTTGAAGTAAGCAAGCTGAAAAAGCAGGAGCAGCAAATGTGTGCTCCTGTCTGCTTCTGAGTTACAAATAAGTTACCTGAACTCCCTTTGCATATGTGTAGCCTGAAAAATGGCGTTTCAGGTGATACTTCCACATCTGTGTTTTTCACTGTGTCCTTCTGCCATTGAAGTGGGAAAACAATGAGGCTTTTGGTGACCTTCAGTTAATGTTTTCATACCTTTCGTTCCACTTGTTCAAACCCAACCCAAGTCTGAGTTGTTTGAAGTCCTGACTGTCATGGTCCTTCACTTTTATGTGCGAAAAGGGGATTATAGTTTCTGTCTAGGTTCTGGTGGGTACGTAGCTGCAGCAATTCCTGGACTATTACAACTACTCTTCTGTGTCTCTGAAGGCAAACCCTGCAGTTTGCACAAAAAGTATATTATCCCCTAGTTTGCAAAAAGATTGCTGATGCCGCTCTCTGCTAAGACTTTTTTGTAACGGAAAACGTGCATGTTCAGTTGAGCACCTCATAAAATTAAGAAATTATTGGATGATCGCAGTAATGTTTTCATGAGCGTATTAGTTTGTCATGTGTGATGTTTTTCAACAGCTGTTGCTGCCAGAGGGGAAAAGAGACTTTGGGGCTTCAGTTGGTGTTATGCTGAACAAAGAGCTGCCTTACCAAATGTAGCCTGATCACGAGCCCTTTAAAACTGTTTAGTAGACTCCTGCATTAGAAAGCTGTGCACTCAGAGTAGTGTGTGACTGAATTTTGTGGAAAGTTTAGGCATGTGAAGAATATTCTTCCCCAGAGTACCACCTCCATTTAATCAGTTTGTGCTTTGCTGGACCACTGTTGGTAAAACTGGGAATAGTCTTTAAAATGATCTCTGTGTTTTTTTTCTGTCTCCTAGGTGTGGAGGATCAACACAAAACATGACATTATTTATGTAAATGGGTCTGTTCCAGGTCACACAAATTGTCTGGTGAAGGTATGTTTGCTAGTTTCAAGTCACTGATATTGGTGACTCCTAAGCTCTCTACAACTCTCCTACCAAAAGGAGACACATTTGTTGAATGCAATCTTCATTTCATCAGAGTCCCATCTTGTACTATTGAATTAAAGGACAGTAGGCTCAGTTCTGTAAAAGAGAGGGATTAATAGGGACAGTGTCACCCCTTACTCTAAACGGCTCATTCTTAACTTTGTACTGGGGTTGTGCATATGATAAACCAACACAGTTGCTGTAACGCTGTGGTGAGTGTCTCAGGGCTAGGTCCGTCCCCTTTTAACACTAACCTATGCCAACAGCATGGTGGTGAGATTTTACAGAATATTAGTGAAGGGTTGTAATCATGAAGAGAAATACACAGCAAGTACTGCTTTAAAGGTTATTCAGAGCATTCCCATACACAGTAGCTGTTACCTTTCCAAGAAGCAGTCAAGGTACTGGAGGGGACAGTTGGAATTCACAACAATGATGTGAGTTCCCTTTGCAATCAGTATAAATGTGTCAGTGTTATTTTCTGTGGCATTCTACAGAATTAATTTCATATTTTATGGATTCTCTATGAAAAAAAGAAATTATGAAGACTGTGTTCTTACAGTGTAAATAATCCACATCAAAGGAAGAAAAGTACTTTTTAAGGATTATTTTCAAAATAGACTTTTCTTTCTAATTGGGTATATTCTACACATTTGCAAGCAATTGGAGGAGGCTGCTTCCTTTCTGACTTAGAGTACAGCATATCAAACACCTTTATTATGAATAATTATAAAAATTTTGGTGTATATATACCTATATATCTCTTTGGTGTATATATACCTATAAACCATAGTTTGAAATCTTCAGAAGTATTGTAGGTGTTTAAATTATCCACTTCTTGAAAAGTCAGAGTTCATCAAGTTTGGATGTTTTTAGCTAGTTTATTGTGTTCTTGTCACATTTTACTATGGACATCCGGTGCCTGTTATGTATTTTCCAGTTGTGGAGCAGAACTCCTTAGTTACTGGGCATTAAGTAAAGCAATGCTAGCTTTTGCACAGGTATTTTACACACAGGAAAATGAAGTTTATTCTTGTGTTTCTCTCCCTGGAAATAAGGCCTTTTTTTTGTCTGATTGAGGTATCTCTAAACTGCTTTAACTGTGATGTCCAGCCCAAGCCTGGAGAATGTATTAAATATTTCTCTCCCAAGATAGTGAAAATTGGTTAACAGATGTTCAGAAGTTTTCAGGATAACTTCTGCAAATTACTGGGCATGACATCAGTGACACAGAATTAAGACTGTAGCTTGACTGGCCTTTCATCCATATGTTGGACTGAATAACCTTTTCCTCAACTGTGTTCTAAGTATTTTTTTCTAATCCTGAGCCATGAACCTGGTTGCTATGTGTTAGTCTGAGCTTTAATTGTGAATTTTTTACAGGATGTTATTTTTAAATTACAACATATGTATACAAGCAACATAATGTAGCTGAAAAAGTGACTAATGTTTGATGCCCAGACTTTATTCTTTGATCTTAATAGTACTCTTAAGCAAGAACTACTTGTTGCAAAAGGTTGTGCCATCTTTCTCTTCTAGTCAGGCTGTTAAAATCCACACTTATATGGTTCAGTGGCAACCGTACATACCCATGGTCAGATGTCTTATCTGCAACGATATGACATTTTATGAAGCCACTGAGACTTTGAATACAGTATTTATTTCTACCAGCTCATAACTTTTATTCTAACTAGATTCAATAAATTCATTTTCTGATTTCAGGTTTTAAGTGAATTAAGAAAACATTTATTAAAGGCCTGTAATAGAAACCATTTTTAAAAGCAAAGCTGTATGTGTGTTAATACCACACATCCTTATGTATGCCACGAAGATCTCATTTAAACAAACGAGTGTCCCCTTGCGAATCAGACATGGCACACTTCCGCATGAAGAACCACCTGCTGGAAGTGTTACATGCTGTCTTTCATGATTGGGTCACTTCCACCATTTTCTTCCACCTTCTCTTTTTTTCTTTACAAAGACATACTCTTGTCTAGGCTGGAGAGCATCCCCCTTAACACCTTGGATTTACTGTTTTTGTTCTAAAAGCAGCTGCGCTGTTAGCTTAAAAAAATCCTTGAGGCAGCAGTACAGCCTTGTTAACAGGAGACTGCTGGGCCAAGTCACCTGAGCATACGCAGTCAAACAGCCGCGTTGACATCTGTGATGTGAAGAGGATAATGGACTTTGATTGCCGTGGCAGTCTGCTGCACACCATTCAAGTGCTTGCCCTGTCCAGGAGTGATTTCTGTTCGGTTCACTCGCCACAGTTGATGATTGGAACTTTATCCTAAGACCAAAATTTAAAATGGCTCCATTGGTTTTTTTCAAGAAAACTTACTCTGTCAGTGTTAACTAAATGGTACAAGACACTTTCCTGACTGCTTTACTGATCCTTGTGGGAGATGTCTGCAAGATACAGGTCTGGATTAATTGTATTTGCAAGTTACCTATATTTAAAAATGTTTCAAGGTCATGGTTATCTACGATTTTGAAGTACAAATATCTTCAAATACACATTTTGGCATACATATTTCAGAGTTGCAGCCAATTCCATTAATGCAGGTTGAGGATCCATGCAAAGAATGAGGGATTTCATCCCTTTGAGCTCTCTGATTAACATAATACAATATTTGAAAGATCTTGACCAAAGTGCTCCAGACTTTCATGGCTTTTTAGTAATAACACTGTTTGAGATGAAGGCACAGTAGTAGGTATTATTACTATTAAGAAATAGATATTTTAAAATTGTCTGCACTCAAATATTTGGCGATTGGAGGGAGTAAGTAGTCAGCAACAGTTCATTCCAGTTCCTCAAGCTGGTGAATCGGTTCTGGGTTTTTTTTACTTACATAAACCATATGAATTACATGTATTAATTATTTTTTTCCCTTATATTTTCAAATACATCTCTGAAGAGCAGAGAAAGCTTTAATTAAAAAAGCATGCAAAACAGTACTATTTGGCGTGTGTTCTCTAATTTCTGCTCTTTCCTTCTACATTTAATCTTGCTGCACTCCTCTGGTGTTTTTAGCTTGTGTCTTATGTTTTTTTTCCAGGTGCTTTCTTGTTTGCATATAGACTGATTTTATATACATTGTTGTATATTTGTTTGGATGTCTAGTTGGGGAGAGAAATTACATTATATTAGCATTTATAATTACTGTTTATTCTACTAAATAACTGCCTATAATGTCTAGGGGATTTGGATCCATCTGTCTGAGCTCAAAAAGTGGAATATCTCATAATACTCTTCTCTTTGTGTGTCTCTTAGAAGGCATTTGTGTTCGATACCCACTCTGTTGCTTGGTAACCATTAAAACCCCAGTGCACCTTAAGGCATATATTTATTTTGTATGTTATGTATTTTTGGAAACTTAGTACATCAGCACTGTATCCACCTGGAGATGAAGCACTTAAATTTTTCAAGTTTCATTTTCAACAGAATAAAAGTGCAGAATACTAGGATTGATGGATTCATAGTTTAATTAGAAATCAGTTTTCATTTGATATTGCACACTGAAGCATGCAGGTAAATAACTGAGATAAGTAATGTTTCTAGCCAACTGGAAAACTAATCAAAAAAGCTTACTTTAGCATGGATTTCTTTCTCAGTGACAAGTGTAATAAAATTAAGAAATTTTAGCAGTATGCTAGAATGTATGGAATTTTTCTGTTTCAAGAGTGACATTGCAAAATAAGCATTTGTGAATTAGTGTGTTGTGCATATCAAGATAGCCTACTTCAGGTAATACACCAAGAAAAACAGGTCTTCTTAGATCACAGGGCCTATAGTTACCGTCCGTGGTGTTGATCTTCAAGAAAAAATGCTAACATCTTTTTCTTTTGGAAGCTTATGGCTCTCAATTTCTCGAGAGGTATACTACCAAAAAGTTATCTCTTCTGTCATTCACGAGAGAATCACAGGACTAATTCCCTTTTTAAGCAGTTACTTTATAATGGAGATGATACTGTAATACAATATATGGTAATTCAGGATGTTGTAGTTTATCTTTGATAATGTTTTATACCTGTCCTAATTTTAAGGCACCTGATTTTCTTAGGACATTCAACGTTGATCACTTCGAATATATCACTTTTAGTGAAAGCAGAAATTCTGGCAAATCTTGTAACTCATAGAAGTTGCTTAGCAAGTTAGACACTGAACTGGCCTTTTTGTATGCTAGTTACACTTGGAGTATACAATTTAGGTAGGATACTTCTTGAGCTAATAAACTTAACTTCTCAGTCTTCCCCTACTGCTTCTTCCCTTTTTTCCTTTTCTGTTGGGTTTGGGGTTTGGTGTGTTTTGGTTTTTGGTTTTTTTTTTTTTAGAGAGGTCTGTAGGAATTTACATCCTACTTATTTTGTACCACACCTGCCGATACTACTGTCTGTGTTTCTAGCTGCTAATGCCTGAGTTGTGTGTTGTGCTCAAATTGAGGACGTGCAGGAATAGTGTGATGCCTTCACTTCTTTTGTGTTCCATGTCCTGTATCTTGGGCCCCATGATAGATTTGTATGAAGTTTTTGTTGGTTGGTTGTTTTTTTAAAGACAAAATAAGGCTGGCCAGAAATGGATATAGTTTTTGAATTCATTTTTCTGTCTAGCTTCAAAGATAGCAAAGAAGCTGACACCTGAGGAGATTATTTTTAACATTTTCTATATTTAAACACATTTTCCTGTTTTGCGAACACACTCTTTGTTGTGGTTGCTAACACAGCCTGAAGCCCCATTAAACTATAAATGTGAGTTGTGACTTAAGCATTAAATTTAAATGCCTGTTTAAGACCATATTAAGTATTTTGTGGTGATAGATTTTTTTTTGTATTTGTTTATACTACCTACGCCATCATTATATGGCACATGCATATGTGCAGTTTCTTAATTGTCTGCAAAACCCTTTATGACTGTTTTAAAGATTAGTGACAAAATCCCAACCAATTTCAGATTACTCTAGTATTTTTCTTAATAAAAAAACTTCACAGAGAATATACTGTAATGTATACACTACTATATATACCATCTGTCTGTAGTATACTGTGCTGTAATATATAATAGTATTAATACAGAAGTTGAGCAAGCCAAGTGATTGTGTAATATTGAGTTGTACAGTGAATGTTTTAATGGATTGTAATAAACAGTTGGGCTCTCAGCCTGATTCATTCTGTGGGTGAGAGCTAAATTCACTGGATTTTAGTAATACAGAGCATTAAAACTTTATTGGGGTCTTCTCAAAAGAGAAGGGAGAACACGAAGAGCTGTGCTGGTTCACATGTGTTTCTTGTTGGTGTACATGCTTATACAGACAAGTGTAACTGCTGCTGTGTGCCATTTAACCCCTTTATAATACAGTGAAATTATTGTGCAGGAATCTGAGGTAATACAAGAAACCTTTGGTAAGCTGTGCCCTTGATGAATGTAAAGGGAGTCATTCAGTAATTCTTTTGAGAAGGCAGATAAATCATACCATGTTTTAAGTTGCTAATCAATACTTTCAGGTGTCAAATGAAACTGAGTTTTCTTCCTTTAAATAGGAATAATAATAATAATAATAATAATATCTGTGTAACAAATCTTGAAATTTACAAGTGAGAAGGAGGTACATTCTTTCCATTTGGTAGTGATGCTCTAAGATGGGCTTCAGGAGTAGAATTTAAATTGCATTTGAAAGCAATGAATGTAGAAGAAGATGGAAAAAGAGCAGTAGTTTTCACCAGTCAGAGGAAATACTGTGTCAATTATACCAATCAAAAGAAAGAGCATATCAGAAGAAAATAGTTTTAACATCAGATATAGCTTGTTGCTCTGAGATCTGTCAAGCTTCTGAGGAGTTTGGAAGGAGCAAAATGGAACGATATTGTACTCCTCTGAAAGCAACAATGGTCTGTTGAAAATGTTTCATAAGAATCTTAAAACTACTTTAAGAATTCTCCTTATCACACAAGAGGCACTATCTGCAAAATGCCACTTGACATTAATATGTAAAATACAATGCTGAGGCTGAACAGAAATCTTACATTTATTTAGATAAACTAATGCAGGACTAAGATTAGACTGTTGGGTTTGCCTTCACTTAAGAGCAGATGTCTTACTCCTAAGTCCTGTGATAAGAAGTTGTTGCTTTAAGAAAAGCAGGGGGGGGGAAGAAATAAAAGCAAACATAACAGACATATAAATACCTTTAGTTTTGCAGGTGTCCAAAACTGCCTGTAATGACACAGCCTGTATGTAACAGCACGTATTATTTCATCATGAGAATAATCCAAAATAACAAAGAAGTAGACATGAAAAACATTTTAATAAGATAATAGATGAAATGAATAAGTTATCAGAAATAAAATAATTTACTCTAATCTTCCTAATATTATTGTAGCTCATGTAGAGACCATGGGGGTTTTTGCTGTTGACAAAGAAGGCTTATGATGTGTAATAGGATCAGGGAGTAAAAGAGGAAAGGGCATGGGAAATAACACGTAAGTGGTGAAGTTATTAAAACATGTTTTCATATAGTAAAAGAAACAACAGCAACATATTGAAAGAGAGGGATGACTTCTCAGCCTCAGCAGTTCACATTGCACTGTTGAAGCTGACTGTGTTTCCTCTGAACTCATCACTGCTGGAACTGTTACAGCAAAGGTCTTTGGACTTGGACCTCAGTCTAGTTTGTTCTGTATAATACGCAATGTAAATTGCTGTCTGCTGGGACTACAGACACTTCAGTAGTTATGCACGGCAGTTTACAAGAGAATACACTAAACTTTTCATAGGGAGGTGTCTGGTGGAAGAAGAATGATCTACTTGAAAAGCTAAGTAGATATCCTGACCAGTTCATGTTTAGCCCTTCACCCCCTCATTCTTAGAAAAAGGTTTTCTTTTGCTTACTGAGCATGCACTTAGAAAACTGTTGGAACTTCCTCAGGGGAAAAAAAATCCAAACCCAAACAGTTTTCAGAAGCTGAAGTTTAAGGCAGATTTATTGTGCACTTTATCTGCAGGAATCCTCATGGACTTTGGGAAAGGCTCAAGTAATAGCAGATATGAATCTGGTAAATATAGTGCTGTCAGAACTTTCAGTGGGTATAAAATTATTTTATTTAATTTCTGGTATAAATCACCATTGTCTTATTTTTTCCAACCCAGTAAGAACAAGCTTCCTGTTCTTTAAAAGCCCACCAGAAAAATAATACTAAGAGCTTATCTTCTCTCTAAAATTTGGTCTAATCTATTTGTACATTTTTTTATAATCCAGTTGGGTATAGTGGCTAAAGGGATTATTACAGTTTGGGAGGAAGATCATATATAATGGTATAGAAACGAAGAATTTATTTTTAAATAAAATTTAATCGCTTCAAAATTTGTAGCTTTTTTTTCTTCAGCGATACCAGCTTTCTATCTTCTACTGCAGGCAAACTGCTTTTTGCTGATAATTCTAGCTACTAATTTTCTTCAGAGATTGAAGTTTCAGGGGCTAGATTTTAAATCTTTCACATGTAGAGAGGTCAGTAAAGGAAAGTAATTGCTCTGTGGCACTACAGTTCTTGGAAATCAACTTTCTCAAAAGCTCACGTTCAACAAATGTGGGTACTGATTCCTGGGTGAAGAATTTTAGATGCTTAGCTCTGCAGTCACTGAATAGCTCTGCTGTAGCCAGAGGGACTGAATACAGCACATGCACATACCTTTGCAAAATTAGTTGCCATAATTAGTTTGTATCATAAATACAAAAGCATGTCTTGGTTGTTAAAAAGGTAATTACACTGCATAATATAATTTGGTATGTCATGTAGGAAAGTACTGTGGGATATAAACACAGTTTAAACAAGCCAGACTTACACATTTATTTTAATAACATTTTAAAATATTGAGCAATGAATTCATGAGAGTAGGTTTTGATTCTGTCAGAGTAGTGATAAATATGTCACACAAATGATAAATTCTATTTGGGTTTTTTGTTTTGTCTTGCTGGTTTTTTAAAAACTCCTTAATGATGAGTACAAAATGTTAAATTCAGTAACTGAGTTTGTTGTTAAAATAACTGATGATTATATGTGGAATTCTTCATATAAACAAGTGTAGTATGAATACTGCTGGGTTTTGTCTTATGCATGCAAGACGATTTCTTTCATTTCTAGCGTATCACTGTCTGAAAGTCTTCTGTACCATTTATTAACTGCACTTTCCCTCTCCTGCTTTTTAGGTCAGAGACAGCAAATTGCCTACTCGCAAGGACTGCAATAAAAACCCTCCGTTTCCTACGTTTTTTGCTGATGGAGATGAAAACCTACCAGAAGACCTGTATGATGATGAGGTTTTCCAGTTCACAGATCCATCTGTCACATATGCATAATGTTCTTCATGTCTTTAGAAACAGACAATTTTGTTATTTTCACAAACTAAAAGTAAACCTATGAATTGCGGTCTGGGCAACTGACTTGAACACTTCAGATACTGACATTTTAGTCAGGTAATAACATTTATCACCGCCAATTTCAAACCTCTGTTTAAAGCAGCAGGTGTGTCTGCAGGGCAGGATGTCAAGAACAGTTTGTGTTCAGTGATCTTCTATCCTCTGTCTCAGGCTGTGAAAAATAACACGTGTGAAAAACTGTTGTTTTGAAGATGGTTCCATTTAATTTTCTGAATGCTACCAAACTCTTTCTCTTTTGTAGAAAGTACTCTGGCCAACTCTGATCAATCAAAAAAAACTTCCATATCTGCCTTGGCATCGGGGGGGGGGGGGGGAAATCTGTGTAGAGTAATCCAAAATAAAAGAAAATGCATTGCTCTGTAGGAGCATGAGCTTGTTTTGTTTCCTTCTTTTACCAGAGCTCTTTCTCTCCTTTTGCTTTAATGTTGAGTTTAATGTAACAAATACCCAACAAATTTTCTAGGGGAAAGATGCTGCCAACCACTGTCTGTCTCTTCAGAGAGTTCTGGCAGTGTGTACAGTGAGGGGGTGTTCGGATGGGAAATGTTCAGTAACAAAGCAGCACTAAGACTGCAGTTGCCACCTGTTTGTTGCCTTTGCTGACAGCTTGTTCTGAACTTCACAGAGGATCCCTTGCATAGTCTCTGAAGAAATATCTCCACATCTACAGTTGTCTCTGTACTGGATTTTTATTTGATTGTAGGAGAGCTATAACAAAGAAAGCAAGCCAAATGTGAAGGATTTGTCTTTATGATAATGCTCATTTTTCTTCTACTCTACCTTTCAGTGATAGCTGGAATGAATACGCTCCTTTTATTTTTCATCTTACGTGATTTACTATTTATGTCTGATCTTTTGAATGCTGTAAATCTACCCACGTCTGGAAGCAAGTACCTGCATAACTGTCAGTGCCGTCTGAGTGTGTGTTTACAAGACCTACAGGAGTTCAAGAATTTGCACATACTAAGCTACTGTTAATACTGTGACAGTGCTATCTACTCATCTTTGCAGCTTCATCACAAGACATCAGATATCTAAGTAAATATGAGATTCCTAAAGACCTCACTAATACTATCCAATTTAAAAGGTGATCTCCTTGTCATTATGGTGTCTCTGTCACTGAAGATGTTTTGAATTTTTTTGTAAGAAACCATGTGTCATCTTAAACAGGCTGTATATAGCTACTGGCTTGTAGAAGACTGGGAGGGATCATTAGAGACTGTGGTATGGAAATGTGAACTGGTAAATATCTATGTTGTAGGGTATGCTCTTAACTGGATTCAGTTGAATTAAAATGTCATTCAAATGAATGCATCAGAATGCTGAATAACAGCACCACCTTCATGCTTCCCCTTCAGTAAAATGGGCTCTGCAAGTGCAGGCATCACACAGCAGATGTGGTGCAAGAAGCCCATACATGTAGTGACTACCCAGAGGGGTGTCATGTTTTGGCCGTGATACTAGTAATAAGTGCAACCTGTCACCTGTTCCAGATTTCCTGAAGAGGTGTTTGGTGTTCCTCTCCTGATTACAAAATAGATTTTTTTAAGTTACAGTGTTTCAAATTTACTTGCTGTCGAACACCTGTAAATCAGGGTGTGGCCATATGCATAGCGTGCTATTCTGCTCTGGTTTATGGAATAATTCTGGCACACATACATTTTCCTTGAGCAGCTTTGCTGTTGTTCTTGGTTTTTACTTCATTGGTAATGATCCTGGACTATCACTGAGATGACCACACAGAGAGATGCTTTTTCCTACTTGGTTTCTCAGCCAGACTCTGGGCTTCTTTCCTGTAAATTGTAATTTGGTTTTCTTCCAGCATATACCTTGGAAAGCACCAAGAGTCAAATATCAAAGGGAGCCACAGGTTTAAAAAAGTACATTAAGATTTACTCCAGATCAAATGAGATTTCAGCTTAAGGGGAAAATAGGCAACCTACTTTAATTCCTGTTTCTTTGGTAAGTGAAGATCTTCTCCCTTTATGGCCTAAACAGTGACATTCCGATGATCTGATCATGTTACTTTTTAGCTTCATTGTCCAGGGAATGACTGCAGTCATTCAGAGAATTCTCTAGTTAACGCCTTCTATTTGTTTAAAATTTCTGCTGAAGCCTATGTATTGTCAGAGTAGTCTCTGCAGTTGTTTTTGAAATGCGTGCTGGATGTGAGCAGTGTGATTTTTCCAGATGTTGCTAATTCAGGCAGGCATTTAGTCTCATTTTTCCTGAGATGTACAGATGAAACCTTTTCCATCTTTGTTTATCAAGAGTGCTTGGACACTAAAGGCAAGAGTTTTCCTAGCTCAAGTAAAGACTGATGTCCTGAAAGTTAAGTATTTTCTGTAGAGCAGATGCAGGGTAAGATGGGTAAGATCTCTTGATGTGAGCTCATAGTAGTGCAACCTAGATTGGAATATAAACATCTATTAGACCTGTTCTTCCATCAGGTGTTGGAAGAACGCTTATGGTGTTGTGTGTCTGATTTTCCATATGCTCCCCATCTGTTTCTTATGATCTTCTGACTAATGAAGGGATGTTGTGTACAGGAAAGGCAGGCTGAATTTATTTCAAGGAACGAAATTGTTCAGAAGTGTAATGACACCACATGCTTTAAGCCCACCTACAAGTTTGTTCTGGTGCTTACTGAAATATTTTTAAATTTTATCGAAGGTGTTGGAGCAGAGTATTTATTCTTCAGCATGGCTGAAGGTTGTGGCTTATCAAGCAGATGTGCTTTTAGGAGTCAAATAAAAGCAGACAAGATTAGACAAATATCAAGTCCTCATGTCTCAGGTGAGCCAACAGTTTCTTGTGCTAAGGGTTGTGTTCATTTTTCTCAAAAGGCAAACCAAGGTCTCTGTTGCAAGTAGGTGGTATCTGTGTGTTTTGTTGCCATTCCTCAGTACTGAAAGTTTAGAGCCATCAGGGAACATAATGCCCAGGCAGCAACAAAAAAAAGCTCTTACTCCATATTACTTGTAGATTATAAAAGAAGGAGCTGAACGTGTTACCAGGAGTCTAAATCCTGTAGGATAACATCCTACCTAATGTTGCTGTCTGTTTTGCTGCCTGAGGAAGTAATTGTTGGCAAGCTCTGCTACCATTGCTGTAGCTTCTGAAACAGCTGAGATCTGCCATGAATTGTGTACCTGTTTCAGCACAGAGAACAAAGTGGTGTTGTCCTCTGGGAGTATAATGCTTGGAAGTTGTGCACTCGGCCCCTTCTGTGTCCTTGAGCTGGTAAAGCACATATCATTTTGCTTTGTGATGCTTAAAAATCATGAGAGGATCCAGCAAAAAGCATGAGTGCTTTTAAAATCAGAGTGTGCGTAGGTTTGTTGTGTCCTTTATTATCATATTAGAAGAAGCCTGTTGTGCAGCTCTTCTTTTCTTTTAAAACACTAACATACACCAGTGCCTGTACACCCTGGGAATTGGACTGTGGCTGGAGTTGCCTGTAACTATGAGGCAAAACGCAGATACCGAGCAGTTCCTTCATGTTTAGTCTATTTTATGCAAGCATTTGTAAATATAAAGGCTGTGGGCAAGGTGCTGAGCTTGGGTTTGCATGTCCAGGAGCACGTTACCCCCTCCTTAGGCTGTTTGGGCTAGTGGGGTGTTTTTAATATCACTAGCATGCTGCTTTGGAGGAGGATGTAGGGTTGAGATTTAGCTGTATTCATGGCTTCATAGTGCGACTGCTTTGAAAAATAAATACTGTTGATTAATAACTCCTCTCAGTGGTTCTGTAGTAGTACATGAATAAACAGTGGCAAGCTTGCAATATAAGTTGAAGGTAAAAAGACAGCAGGAAGAGGAAATCAAAACACTCATCTATCACTTGACAATGTAATTGCAGTCATTGATGATAAACAAGGAGTGTTTATTTCTCTTGAATCCATACTTTTAAATACCATTGCTCTGTCATTATGTGAGACTGATAAACATTTTCCTTTGCTGTTTTCACTTGATGTGGATAAATGTGGTCTGTTCTGTTAGCATTTAACAAATATTATTCTAGTAAGCTGAAAAGATGACAGGACTTGATATGTAGAATTTCACCTTGCTTGACCCTGTGTGGATTTTGGAGCCTGGTATGGCCTGAGCTTTTCCTGAATTTACAGTTTCCTTGCAGAATTCTGAAAATTCTGCAGGGCTGACGATTACAATGTAAACTGTGAGGGAGACTGACATGTGTCATCCAGCTGCCTCTGGGCCAGCAGCTTTGCAGTGACAGCCCAGGGCAGAGCAGTTGAGTGTGCCAGTGCAAGTCCCATACCTGTGAGCTCTGGGACACAGGGATGCCAAGGTAATTGCTATTTAAAATAAATTGCTGGCCCAGTTGTAGGGTGTTTCCGACCCTAATAACCACAGTGAGTGGTGGGGGGGGTTCACTCATTTTATGAGTGCTGTGTCTGTAACTATTACTTGGCGAGGATCATTCTCCTGATTTATTTCATTCCCACATCTTGATATTTCATGTGGGAGTGCCTCGGTTTCGTAACTGTAAGCATTACTTGTACACCATGTCTTCTAATAATTAGCTCCTGTGCTCTTCAGTGCACAGATAGTGCTTATTAATTGCCTTTAATGAGCATCTCTCACCTGCAGCAATTGCCCTGTGCTGTTACACGGCTTAGTGTGTAACATAGCATAGTATGGTTTATTTATATAACACACTCGATGGCACTTAACAGCTGTAAAAATGCAAAAATGCTGACCTTGGTCTTGGGTATTTATTGGTTTTGGAGAAAGTTTCTGGTGGAGGAATTTAAGTTGGTTACATGTAGCCTTAATGTTATCACACCAGAAAGAGAATTAATTTCAATGGATGCAGCTCTGCTGTGTGACAGCAAAAGAGATGGAAAGCTGGCAGTTGTTCCTGGGGGCTATGTATTGCAGCAAGGTGTGGGGTCAGGTAGTAAAGGACTGATAGTCTCCAAATTAATGCAGCCTGCTGACCTACCTCATGAAATGCCCAGAAGAATGTGATGTGAACTGAGGAGGACTATCACACCGGTTCAGTCCCCAGTCGTTCTATCAGTACGCTCTTCCTTGCATCTCTCCCCTAATTTTACAGAAGTGTGTGCGTGGTAAGTGTGAATGTGTCACTGTAGTGAGCATCACAAGAAAAGATTCCCAGCAGCATCAATGTCCGTGATAACGTAAAGACTAATATTGTCCTAGTTCTCTCTGTGATTGTCCCACTTTCCTCTTTCTGGTAGGATATCACACATGGGTTCCCACCTACATGTATGGTTGTTATGTCATAGAATCATTTCTGTTTGAATACTGAAGACCCGAGGTATGTTCTTGCTTTTTGATTTAAGTGGGCAACTGGTAATTTGCAGAATTAAGAGCTTCTACCTAGCTACTGCCCATGATGAATTGAAAATCTCTGCTTGTGAATAATTAGATTTTGGGGTTAAATTAATATTCACTTTTGTGGCAGTAACTTTGAGCACTAGAACAGACCCTGAAGAGGCAATCAGCTGAGAAAGTCAGTGCAGTTTCTGGTGCAAATACAGAAAATGGCTTGAATTATTTGCTGTAATCTGATGAGTACGTACTAGAGATGGAGCCTTCTGTGCTCTGGTGCTTACTGCTGTATCTCAAATTCGGTGTGTAAAAATCTTCTGGCATAAGCTGTACGTACTGAAGTCAAACTATGGATGAATCCAGCTATTGGGGATTTGAGAAGGATGGGATTGCAAGGGGAGGTTGTTAACAAAAAATTGACTTAAACCTATTTCATATCATTCAAATTGTGCTATATAATTTGCTTCACATTTCCCTGGCTGACACAGTCTTACAGTCAAGTTTTCATCTGTCTGTTTTCATCTCCTTCCTCATTTCCTTTCTAAGTAGTAGAAAACCTTAGAAAATGTGGGGTTTCTGAAGGTACTCAATAACCTTGAAGAGGGTCCCTTGGCAACCTGCTACTCTATTGAAAAGCCGTGTGATTCATCTTTCATAGGCAAGACAGTAATTTTACAGTTTATTTTTTTATTTCTAGGAGATCAAGAGGAAAGATTAACATTGCTGAAGCAGAGACTTTTCTGCATGTGGCCTCTCTGAAAGCAATGTTCCACAGATTCTTGCCAAATCCTGCCTGAAATATGTTATTGCTCCGTGCAGCAATGAACTTGCAGCACAAATTACAGTTTTTGTGACTCAGTTTTGTTTAATTTGCATCTGTCCAGCACCAAAATATGCATGAAAGAATTTGGCAGTTGGTGATGAGAAGTTTACTACATGGTGCAGATAAATCATGGTGCCTTTCTCTGCTGTTAGCAAGAAAGGCATTTTTGTCTTCCGGTTAGGTCTCAAATTGCACCACCTGTTTCCAAAGGGAGGTTTTCCTCAGGATCTTCCATGTTCTTCCTTAGGCTAGCCTGAAATTTTCCTTTATTTGGCCTGAAAGTTTAGAGCTGCATATGGAGAAATAGCCTGATAGAAAAAAAACAGATTCGATTTCTCTTCCCTCATCTTCCATTTCCCTTGATCACAGGTCAGCAGAGAACTGCTTTCCCCATATGGGACTTAAAGAGAAAATCAATTGTTTTCTGTGAAATTGCCAGTTGATTTCTAAACTGCTATTTTACCCCCACAGAGAAGATGCTGTGAAATGTCCTTTGGCTCTTTGTCACCCTGTCCTGGATCCATAAGGCTGTGGCTTTGAGCCCAAAGGCTCTCAGCCTGCAGGCGCAGCAAGTGCCAGAGGCAGAATGTTTCAAGCTTTGCTATATGAAGCTGTTGGACAATCTAATGGTGTGGCCGCTCAACCTTCCTGTTACAGGGTACACTGAAGACACTCGCCCACCACTGTTGTGTATTGCAAAGCCAAGAAGTGCTTTTGGAAGCACTGTTCACTAAGTACCCTGCACAGTGGCTCTTCTTAAAGCTGTGTACTTCTACCGGCTCTCAGTAGCTTAATAATCCAAACAACACGGTGTGTACACTTTGTGTGTGTGTGTGTATGCGCCTGTCCTCTGGCGCTTGCTGTTTGTTCGTTTCTGATCAGGAGACTCGGTGACAGGCTTTCAAGCATCGCCTGTTTACAGTTCAGTGAAACTGCTCCAGCTGGCAAAGCAGTCTGTTCTCTGCGCTCTTTGAAGGAAGAAAAAAATCATATGGAGTCCTGAAACTTCAGTGCTGACATGTAAGCAAAGGCAGGGACCTTCTCCCCTATTGTCCATCTTCCACAGTCAGATCTCTCATGTTTACAGATGTCCAAAATGTGTGCTTTGATGTGAACATAAAACTTGCTCTTGTCTGAAATGTGGCCTGTATCAGAAATATCATCAGGTGGTGTCATCTGTTCTCATTGAAGCCAGTGGTTTAACTGGTCATATTCTCTTAATGACTTAATGAGCTTTATTGTGGATGATTAGAAGTAATTACTTATTAGCAAGCACAGAGAGATTTTGACAAAACAATTTCATAGTTATTAAACATCAAGTTGAAATAATTGCTCTTTTATAAAAATATTGGTAGCTCATCTGTTAATTCACATTTAGGAAACCTAATGAATTATTAGTGCCCATTTATTTATAAAGTGTTTTTACAACCACAGACTTATCTTTCCAAATGTTTTTACATGTTTTTAAATTTATGTTAGTAAGCAGTGGCTTCAAGAAAGCACAAGTCTGTGAGATGTCAGTAAACTACAAGATTTATCCCCCGTCTCACAGACTGTGGAATTTAAATGAAACACGACACAGGACATTGTGAGGTCCTGAAGAAGCGGGGTCTGATCAGAAAAGGGGTTTGAAGGAAAAGAGAGTAAACACCTGGCAGCTGAGGACTTGGCACATTGCTACAGCTGTGCTGCACTGAGGGGAGGGTACCTGAAAGCTGATGGGGAGAGAGAGAGGGGTGAGGAGGAAGGAGTGTGGAGCCTGGCATTGCAGGCACCAGGGAAGCGTTGTGGTGGTGGGCAGCTGAGGAAAGAGACACCGAGGCCAGTGGAGGAATTTGGAGAGATTTTTGGTTGACAGGAGAGAAACGTCGCTTTGTGCTGCAGGTTGGTGATGGGCATGGGTAGTAAATCTAGAAAGCGTTTGTAGCTAAGGACTGCATTGAAAGGATGCGGCTGGGCATCATCCAAGAGAATGACCCTTCAAAATCAGATAGATAAAATTCTCAGAAGGGCAAGGCTGGAGGAAGATGGGTGGATAAAGATGCCCCATGCCCTTGGTGAGCCTGCTTTAACCCAGCTGAAAAGCAGCCCCCTTGAAGAGAGAAATTCAGAAGAAGAATCCAGGAGCTGAATTATTTTCTGAGGAAAGTGCTTGCCGGTCACCTGCAGCTAGGCTTTCATTCCATGATTAAGGGCAGGATTTAAATTTAAGCCCCGTTCTTGGTGATTCCTATTAGCTGTCTTAAGTGGTCCCCTGCTTGCTGTGGCAGCTGCTGTGCGCTCTTGGTACTGAGAGTATTTTGGTAGGGGGCCAGCAGGATGCATGGACGTCACATTTTGAAAGCTGAGCACAGTGCGAGGATGATCTGTGCTTACATGTCCGTAAGCCTCTGCCCCTCTGTCCTCATTTGTTTCTGTTCGCCTCCCTGTGGCAGTGACTGTCATTTAATAACAAACTTAATTACTGCAGGTGACTTGTTGGCTGTCTTATGGCCAGTAAACTTACTGCAACAGTCAACAAGAAATGGAGCAGTTGGAATACATT